GGACCGGCCGCTCCATATTCGCTCCATAAGACGCACTGACATTTCCCCCCAGTTTTAGGAAAGAAAAAGTGCGTCTTATACGGCGAAAAATACGGTAAATAGAACAACGTGGATACACAGATCCCGTAATAAACAGAATAACAGAAATGGTAATCAAACAAACAGAGACCACAAGGATCCAAAACTTTCATGACAATATCTTGCTTTTAGCCTATTTAATTTAATTAAGCAGTAGCTTATCATGGGACAGATATCAACGGAGGTAATTTTTTTTTACACAGAAAATGGTCCAAAATTGTTTTTTTTACCGGAGTCACACTTTAGGGAACTAGGCAATCATTTTGGGGTTGATTTACTAAAAATGGAGAGTGTAAACTCTAGTGCAGCTGTGCATGGGAGCCAATCAGCTGCTTGTTCAGTTAAGCTTTGACAATAAAACCTGGAAGCTGATTGGTTTCTATGCAGAGCTGCACCAAATTTTGCACTGTCCAATTTTAGTAAATCAACCCCATGGCATTTAATTGTAATACAAATTATATATTGGCCATGGTAAATCATCATCATTATTTTCATGATTGGTTAATAATGTGCCAATATCTTCTTCCATAATGTACAAATAAAAAGAATATTGAATAAGACTATAAAAATAAATGACATTTTGACAGGTTGAATATTGTCATTAATACAAACCTTTGGAGACATCCAATACATCTGCCCCCTATAGATAAGTATCTTGTTTCTAGCATTACTAAAGAAACTCTTATTTACTGGTGTGCTTTATGTGCAAGGTACCTGCTTGAACATCCCTTGGCAATTAGTGAATGTGACAATAATCCCAACCAAAACATCAGTTGAAGACATTTTCCATGCTGGAAAATATTCCCAATGCTCACTTCTTTCCTTTTCTATTGAAACACAAAATGCTTATTTCACTGTGTATTCAATAATATTGGAGAAAAAAAAACTTCAATTTGGCTGGTGTACTTTGAAAGTAATAAGATTTACCAGGTCAGGTTAGATGCTAATCAGCAACCAAAAGTTCATAAATAGAGAAGAGAAAGCCTAGCAGTTAAATAATAAACTGGCAGCATTAAAGGGGCAAATGATTGGCATTATCACTGGTCCTTTTATAAGTAGATCATGTAAAGGAATCTATCATGATATAAATCCTGCATTATAATAATAATAATAATGATTTAAAGTGGAGTTCCACCCAAAAGGGGAAGTTCAGCTGTAAAGATTGGTCCCCTGCTCCCCATTAAGGATTGGCAACTTTGGAGAGCGGGGGGGAACCGGTTCCCAAATTTGACAGGTACCCGCTCCCACTGCCGCTGCGATTGCCTAGGCGATCGCAAACAGATCCCAGAAGACGACGGGGCCATTCATGAAGCGCAGCGCTACTCGCACATACACAGTGGGCACCTGGCTGTGAAGCTGCAGGCTATCACAGCCGGGTGCCCACACTGACGATGCTGGCACCTGGAATACAGGATGGCCAGTGAAACGGGCTGCGGGGGACACACCGAGGGACTGGTAAGTTGCAGTTTTTGTAGCTGCTGACTTTTATTTTTTTACAGAGTGAGTGGAACTCCGCTTTAACAATGTAGATTGCTGTTGCTGGATTCTCCTTTTGAAAGCACTAGTTTTAGGCTGTCATTCTGATGCTTTGGCTTTGGTACCCTTATGCCCCTATCACATGAACGTTTTTCAGACGGACCCGACCGGAACCTCTATTCTCCTCTATGGAGCGGCAGGTGTAAACGAACATGTGCCCATTTACACCCGCCTACATCCAATCTGATCCACCAAATCAGTGGATTGGATTTAATCGCAGTTGGGTGTAAATGGACAGGCAATCCGTTTACATACAACCTCCCATGGAGGAGAGTGGGCTGTGTCCATGCCTGTTCTGCAGAGGGGACACAGACCTGTCATCAGCCTGCACAGCAGGAATCTGCAGACAAATTCCCTGCTGAGCAAGCAGAGCAAAAGCAGAGTCCACTCCGTGTGAAAGGGACGCTGACCCAGAACAAGTGATAAATATAAGGAATTTTGACATGCTTTTGCAGTATGCTTGTTCCTAGATAGCAATTTAAAAATACTTGAAGTGCTTGTAAAGGCAGAAGGTTTTTTTTTTTTTTTTTACCCTAATGCATTCTATGCAGCTCGTACCTGCCATTGGTTCCCACTGCTGTCAAATACAGGCCGAGCTGTACTGTTTGAGTCAATACACACTGAGTCTCCATGCACACTGGGTGTTTTGATAAAGCTGGTAACGTTAGCAGTGTAAAGTCACGTTAAAAATGTGTGTTTTTCAGCTTTCTTTAGTGTTTTTGTATTAGCGTTTTAGCAGCGTTTTCCCGCTTTTAGTGGCGTTTTCCCGCGTTTTTCTGTGTTTGCAGTTTTTAGCATTTTTTTTACCAAAAAATTTTTTTGGGGGGGGGTCAAAAAAAAGTCCAAAAATGCCAGTTTGCGGCATTTTCCAGGTTTTACTCCGTTTTTTTTTTAAGCGTTAGAGCGTTTTTACAGTTAAAAAACTCTCTAGAGACCCACTAGTCCTGGGTTTTTTTCCAGTCAAAAAACATCCCTCCCAAAAAACATTGATTACAGTCTACAGTTGCAAGAAAAAGTATGTGAACCCCTTGGGATTACGTGGAGTTTTGCATGAATTGGGCATAAAATGTGCTCTGAACGTCATCTAAGTCACAACAATAGAAGAACACAGTCTGCTGAACATAATACTACACAAACATTAGATGTTGCCATGGTTTAATAGCACATAACATGTAAACATTCACAGTGCAGGGAGGAAAAAGTATGTGAACCTTTGGACTTAATAACTGGTTGACCCTCCTTTGGCAGCAATAACCTCAACCAAACGTTTCCTGTAGTTGCAGATCAGACCTGCACAACGATCTGGAGTCATTTTGGACCACTCCTCTTCACAAAACTGTTTCAGTGTAGCAATATTCTTGGGATGTCTGGTGTGAATCGCTCTCTTAAGGTCATGCCACAGCATTTCAATGGGGTTGAGGTCAGGATTCTGACTGGGCCACTCCAGAAGGCGTATTCTGTGCTGCTGCAACCATTGTTTTGTTGAATTACTTGTATGCTTTGGGTCATTGTCCTGTTGCATCACCCATCCTCTGCGGAGCTTCAGTTGGCGGACAGATGGTCGTACGTTTTCCTGCAAAATGTCTTGATAAACTCTGGAATTCATTTTCCCATCAATGAGAACAATCCGTCCAGGCCCTGAGACAGCAAAGTAGCCCCAAACCATGATGCTCCCTCCGCCATGTTTCACAGTGGGGATGAGGTTTTGATGTTGGTGTGCTGTGCCTTTTTTTCTCCACACATAGTGTTGTGTGTTCTTCCCAAACAACTCAATCTTGGTTTCATCTGTCCACAGTATATTTTGCCAGTAGTGCTGTGGAACATCCAGGTGCTCTTTTGCAAACTTCAAACGTGCTGCAATATTCTTTTTGGACAGCAATGGCTTCCTCCGTGGTGTCCTCCCATGTACTCCATTCTTGTTTCATGTTTTCCGTATTGTAGATGTGTCAACAAAAATGTTAGCATGTGCCAGAGATTTCTGTAGGCCTTTAGATGACACTCTGGGATTCTTCTTTACCTCATGCAACATTCTGCGCTGTGCTCTTGCAGTCATTTTTACAGGACGACCGCGCCTAGGGAGAGTAGCAACAGTGCTAAACTTTCTCCATTTGTAGACAGTCTGTCTTACCGTGGACACATGAACATCAAGGCTCAAGGAGATACTTTTGTAACCCTTTCCAGCTTCATGCAAGTCAACAATTCTTGATCGTAGGTCTTCTGAGAGCTCTTTTCTGCGAGGCATGGTTCACATCACACAGTGCTTCTTGAAACCAGTAAACCCAAAACAGGTGTGTGTTTTTTAAGGGCAGGACAGCTGTCAGCAACACATCCAATATCATCCCACTGATTGGAGTCAAGGTTGGCTCACTCCTGGCTCCAATTAGCTCTGGGAGAAGTCATTAAGCTAGGGCCTCACATACTTTTTCCTCCCTGCACTGTGAATGTTTACATGTTATGTGCAATTAAACCATGGCAACATCTAATGTTTGTGTAGTATTATGTTCAGCAGACTGTGTTCTTCTATTGTTGTGACTTAGATGACGTTCAGAGCACATTTTATGATCAATTCATGCAAAACTACACGTAATCCCAAGGGGTTCACATACTTTTTCTTGCAACTGTATGTGTGCATGGACACATAGGATAACATGCTGTAGGGTTTACTAGCTGTAGAAAAAAACCGTCAAAAGCCAAAAACAGCAGCTGTAAAAACGTCCAGTGTGCATGAGGACTGACATGAGTCAGCTTGGGAGCAAGCACGCATGAGTGCCTCCATAGCAAGGAGCTACCTATGAGGACAGTCAGCAGGGGGAGGAACCAGGAGTGTCGGTGGGGGAACGGAGAAGAGGAGGATCGGGGCTGCTCAGTGCAATACCATTGCACAGGGCAAGTAAGTTTAACATGTTTGTTATTTTTAAAGAATAAAACATGATCCTTTACAGTCACTTTAACATGGACTTTCACTCAACTATTGTACTTGTTAAAAATGTTTTGCTTCCCTGCTCCTTTCACATAATTGAGGGTCCATTTTTAAAAATGTTTTTTGAGGACCCTAACCTAGGTGTGAATGACTTAGCCCCCCAGCTTCCTTCAGCCTCCTGGGATACTCACGTCATGCATCCCAGGAGGCTTCATGGAAAGCTACAGAATCTGTACATGTCTTGCAGCATGTCATAGAGAGCTGTCTGGTTTTTGCAGAACCTTGTACACATAAAATTCAAGTTACAAATAGTAGCATGATTTTGAAAACAGTATTACACACTAACATTTTTACATTAACAAATTCAGATGTACATACTGTATGTCTAAAAACTGTAAGATAATATGGTTTCTTTGTAGGAGGTGAACAAAGATTTTGACAATTTTTTGTATTGTTTCCTTTGCAGCTCCGCCTTTTGTACGAGTGTAATCCAATGGCCTTTATCATTGAGCAGGCAGCGGCGGAATGGCGACGACTGGAACCCAGCCAGTGCTGGATGTACAGCCGGAGACGATTCACCAGAGGGTACCGCTATTTCTTGGCTCTCCAGATGATGTACAAGAGTACTTGGCCTGTGTGAAGAAACACCAGAAGAGCAGCTAATTGCTGAGTGTAGAACTGCAGTGTTTGTCCTTCCTGTACACTTCATGTCGTGAATATGTGTTCTGGACCGCTTTCCTGGCATATTGCATTTTCTCGGTATCCTGTCTTGTTTTATTATTGATAAACACCGCAGAACAAATACTCACTGGTGTCCGTTGCATTGTTTTTCAGTTACTGGCAATAATGAAAAATACATAGGCGGCTATTGCTGACCTGCTGAAAGTCCTAATTGCTTGGCTGTTTTGCTAATTGCTGTTAATTGCTTTAGCTCTTCTTAAAAGATCACAGAAGATGCCAGTAAGCAGGAACTTTCTGAAAACAGTATCATTTTTAAGAGGACTTTTGCAAATTAGGCAGATCATCTGTTTTAAAAGCTAAAATTGGCCAAAGACAAAGCGTTTTATTTTCCTGCAACCATGGGTGATGGGGGAATCCCTCCCACTGAGCCACTGTGTTGTTCAACAGGGCCAATGCGTCCACTAGACAAACTAGGCAGCCGCCTAGGGTCCACTGCCACCTAGGGGCACCTGGGTGCAGCACAGGCCGGCACTCTCTCTGTGTGGGACTCCGCCATGTCATGAATGATCCTTCAGCTGAGAGGAGGGGCGACAGAGAGGAGGAAGAAAGGACAGAGAAAGATACTGGGTGTCTGGGGCCAGTGTAGCAGTTGATCTGCCACTCCTTCCAGTGTTCCTCTTAGACTCAGTCCCTTACTGTAAACCTGGTGGCCTGGCGGCTGCTGATCATTGTGGAGTTCCAGTCCTTCTCTTCCCATTCATCAGCAGAGGCAGAGCTGTGCCTGCGAAGGAAGCTAATGTCTGACTCTGATGTCTCCTGTCTGTGTGAGTGTGACCCAGCCGACCGGCCATCCATCAAAAATGTGCAATGTGTCAGTGAGTGATGACATCATCATGGTCCCACAGCCTGCTCTTCTAGTGCCTGCTGATCTGTGTCAGTGTTGGTGATGGTGTGTTGTGTTGGATCTGTCACTGCTCAGCTCAGGTGTTCTCTGTGTGTGTGGGCTGGTCTGCATGATGTCACATCTGTTTTATCTCCCCCCATTGCCTGGGAAATTCCAGCCTGGGATCTATCAGAGTGTTTAATCCATCATCCTCCACTCACTGCAACTGTCACCCTGCCACTGACAGCCACAGATACAGTCAATCCATGACACTGATTTTGTCTTTAATATTGATGCCGGTGGCATCTTATGGCACTTATTTTTGCAAATTAAAGAAATTTAGCAGTTTGATGTTTTGTTGATTTAATATTTTGTACTGTTTTTAAACATTTTTATTTATTTATTTTTTGGGGGTGCAAGTAGTTAGGGCCAAAATAGTGTAGCAACGGCCCTATAATAGCCACTAACAATAATCATATGTAAAATCCAACAGGCTGGTTGTATCTAAGTAGATAGATCAATAACCTTGGGTACATTCAGCCTGCCCATAAACGGTTCAAATCTAGACCGGTCCCTGCTTATCTGACTGAGATTTGAACTGTCTTTGGCTGGCTTTAGTCCACCTTTTTGAAAAAAAAAAAAAAATGTGCATTTGTTACTTTTTTTTGCAAACCAGCCTGCAAAGATCAGTGGTTGGCATGTGCAATGTTAGGGTCCTGCAAGAGCTTTTCCTAGCTCCCTGCCCATACCAAGGTACAGTCTTTCAGACAGAGAGCTGGAGAAGGTGTAAATGGATTACAAGTGAGGTGACCACCACCTTAATACTACCTGGTATCATACAGATTATGATAAGAAAGTACTAAAGCAATAAAAAAGTCCTCCCTGTAATTATTGGGTGAAGCCTTCTTAAAGTGGTAGTAAACATTTGGTTAAAAAACAAATTCCCTGCTGTAAGGCAATATCATAATGTGTTAGTATCCACCCCATACTAGCACATTATGAAATCCTTATCTTAAAATGAAGCCTTGCAGCAGTGCACTGTCACCTCTGCAGAGGCTTCCATCTTTACTCAATCTTCTTCCAGGTTCGCGGTCTGTGGCCGCTTGAATGGCCGAGCCGCGATGAGGATTTTTCTGGAGGGCTGTAATGGTTGAAAGGCTGTTTTAATGACAGTGTCTCTTTAAATTTAATATAATAACCAATCAGCTCCAGGTTTTATTGTCAAAGCTCAATTGAACAAGCAGAAGTTAGAAGCTGATTGGCTACCATGCACTGCTGCACCAGATTTTGAACTCTCCAGATTTAGTGACTTAACCCCTATGGGGTCTATTTACTAAAACTAGAGAGGGCAACATCTGATGCAGTTCTGTAGAGAAACCAATCATCTTCCAGGTTTTATTATCAAAGCTTAATTGAACAAGCAGAACTTAGAAGCTGATTGGCTACCATGCATAGCTGCACCAGATTTTGCACTCTCCAGATTTGGTGACTCAACCCCTATGGGGTTTATTTACTAAAACTGGAGAGTGAAATATCTGGTGCAGTTCTGTAGAGAAACCAATCATCTTCATGTTTTATTGTCAAATCTTAATTAGATTGTAAGCTCGAAAGAGCAGGGCCCTCGATAATTAATAATATAATAATAATCACTGAGCAAAGTCGCAAAATCGTTTTCAGTGTCTGATGACGAATTTCCCCACGAATCATTATCACTCAATTCTGCAAGTGGTTCTAATTTACTATCGCTGTTCTCTAGCTGGTCTAAAAACGCTTTTGACCTAAACGGACGCTTTTTGGACGCCATGGACGTTTCTCAGTTTCCAGGCAGAAAGAACAGTAAAAATGCAGGCAGGGCACAGGACAAAGCACTCAGGACAAAATGTATGTGAAATGGTTTGATGCAGTAATGGAATACTATGTGATTTTAGTGTATTGAGTGAATGTCACTTTTTCACATTTTTAAATTTCTCGCCGCTCCGTCCCCGTACGTCCCGACGTCGCAGGGAACGGAACCCAGAAGACGGATTCTGGCATCGGCCGGAGGACATTGCCGGGGCCACTGCAGGAGGGACATCGCAGGAGCGAAGGACAAGGTAAGTGCAGAAGGGATCCCGGAGCAACGCTGCAAGGTATTCCCGAGTGTAGCTCGGAGTTACTGCTTGTGGTACTGAAACTTTACCCCGAGCTACACTCGGGAATACCGCCAGGGAGGTTAACACAATTATCAGTTTCCTTAGCAGTTCTGATGATAATATCAAGAGCCCAGAGCTACTGAGTGTACAGCATTTTTTGTATCTCTTCAGAAGGTGTCACAGAGCTAACTTCACTCAATAAAAGGGTCTGAGGGGTGTGTGGTAGGTGTGCTGGAGTATTTTATTATGCCCAGCAGACGCAGCCTTAATGCCAACAATCCTGAGCATCTCTACATTCACTGGCCACCTTATTAGGTACACCTGTTCAATTGCATGGCAACACACAGTGAGTGTATATGTCCATATAACAAAGTATTACAATCTGACAAGCAGCATATTATTTAGCAGAATGAAATGACAATTTGTTAGATACCAAATATGTCTCTGAGGTATTAGGTCTTTTTTGTCATATTAACCTTCTGAACCTTGTAAATTGGTGTTTGGTGTCTAACTAATTGGTATCTTCTTATACATTAGTATAACCACTTTAATTTTAAGGGCTCGTTCACACTTGACTGTTTTACCAACTCTTGCCAAACGCCCCTATAGCGTTTGGCAAGCGTTGGTCCGGCGTTTTTTAATGCTCGGCAAACATTCCGCAGACACCGCATGCGTGGTTCAGTGGCGGTTGCTAGGCGTTTGCCGAGTGTTAAAAACGCCCCACAAACACCTATAATGAAGTTTGAATGGTGTTACCACTCCGCAAACGCCCTGCAACCGCATCGCAACCGCACTCCAAACGCCGGCCGGGCGTTTGCGGAACGGCACCATAGACTAAAATAGGAGGCTTCAACGCCTCCTGACTTGACCAGAGGCGTCCGTTTTGCCGCGCCGCGCCGCTAATGCTCTCGTTAGAACAGCACCATGTGTTGCAATGTGCAGAATTGTCTGAGGTGTTTGGGAAGCGGTAAAAACGCCTCCCAAACGCCTTTCTGCTGCCTGCACACAACGCTAGTGTGAACGTAGCCTAAGATAACTACATTACCACAATAGCTATGGAATATGAATGAGAGTTAAGAGTTTAAGATTTATTTATTACATGTATTTAACCTCCTCGGCGTTATGATTCTTTCCGATTTTTTTTTTGTGCTGAAAGCGGTACCATTTTTTTGCATAGAAATATGTCGTTTTTTATTGTAGGCTGTAATTTTTAGGAATAACTCACTGAAATCTGTCCAAACAAGAGTCTAGTAAACATTCCGGATATGATAAAACTTGAAACACGAAATCATAAATTATAATTTAATAATCATAAAAAATAATAAATAATAATAATAATATATTTAATTCAATAATATAATCAAACCAAAAACACTGAAATTTGAAATACAGAGGCAAATTCGCACATCACTGAGCAAAGTCGCAAAATCATTTTCAGTGTCTGATGACGAATTTCCCCACAAATCATTATCACTCAAACATTTTTTAAAAATGTCAAATTTGCCGCCGGTTCCGGCGCCCGTACATCCCGACGTCACAGGGACCGGAACACAGAAGCCGGATGCTGGCATCGGCCGAGGAGATGGCCGGGGACGCTGCAGGGGACACATCGCGGGAGCAAACGACAAGGTAAGTGCTGCAGGGACTCCCTGAGCAACGCCGCATGGTAAGCCCGAGTGTAGCTCGGGGTTACCGCTCTTGGTACTGAAATTTTACCCTGAGCTACACTCGGGAATACCGCCAAGGAGGTTAAATGGCACCATTCATTTATGCAACGCTTTTACACATAGATATTGTACATTCACATCAGTCCCTAACCCTCAAGGAGCGTACAATCTAAAGGTCCCTAACTCACATTCATACTAGGGCCAATTTAGACAGGAACCAATTAACCTACCAGAATGTCTTTAGAGTGTGTGAGGAAACTAGAGTTCCTAGAGGAAACCCATGTGGGCACAGGGAGAACA